GATTCTATGATTCTATGATAAAACCTGACTGTGGGCACAAACAAACCCCCTTGGAGGGGCGAGGGGGAGGTAAGGGGCATGCACCGGCGTGCCCCATAGCCAGGCGGATGTGGAAGTGGGCAGGGCAGGATGACGTTTGTCACCTGGCAGCTTTGAGACAGAGGCTGCAAGCGCGGGCCGCGTCGGCTTGCGGGGAGATCCTTGGTAGTGGTTGGACTGGTGCACGTGCTTTGTGCGGCGGCACGCTTGTCTGGGATTTGTCTTTACCTTAGGTGTGGGGCAGTTCAGCCTGTGCTGTTCCAGTTGCTTAATTTGTACCGTACAAGGGCGACAACAGGGAGAGGTTTTGTTTCGTCATTTCACGGTGTGCGCCAGACTCGCCTGTCGCCGAGGAATTCGGCTTTGTGGTGGTTCGGTCTGTCGCCAGCGGAGAATGGGAATGGCAGTTCCTTCAGGGAGATGTGTTCGAGGTAGAGGCGACACTCCCGTTTTGGATCAACCACGGCTAGTGCAGAGTGTCCGCTTCCGAGACTGCAGCGAGGGAGGAGACCTCGGAACACAGACACACCGATTTGCCCGGCTCCTCCTGTCCCATGTCCTGCTGTTCTGAGGAGTAAGGCCGCAAGGGAGAAACACGCAGGGCAGAAACGCTTTTATTTAAAAAAATTGTGAAAGTACAAGACGGTGCATCGTGTGCTGTACTGTGAATACAAAACTTCTAACTTTCTAAACCCCATGAAACAGAAGATAAATCTCAGGCATCCTTCGTGAAGGAAGACAGGCTTTTGTAGTGGTTACGGGAATGGCTTAACAACTCGCTTCTGTTCCCAGATTTTCTGGCTGAACACTGGACAGTAGTAAACAGCTGTGTTTCTGTACACCTGTGGGATCTCCTGGGCTCTCGGGCACTGTGCAGGTAAGCTCCCTGTTTGCAAAGGGCTCACACGACAGTTGGGTGGGCTTTGCTTATGAAATACTTCCAGCGTTGGAAGAGGCTCGGGAGGGTTTGTAGGGTTGGTACCAGCTATCCGCTACAGCACCTTTCTGGCGTTGCTGCGCCTGTCTTGGGCATTTTTCCTTTCCTGCTCCGCTGTGGGTAGCGTTCTCCCATCCACGGCAAGTGATGGCCTTCAAAACCATGTAAAACGTGGGTTGATGTATTTTTTTTTTCCCCTTCCTTGTTGGAGTAGGCGTACATGGTATTGCGCTAAATTCAGAAAAAGGGGCAGTCTCGGCAAAATCTAATTGCCTGGTTTTGGGGGCTTTTCCTTTTAATGTGTTGCTTGGGTAAAGTATTATCTTAAGGTACTACCTGGGCTGTTGCATATAAATACATGTTATGTACTTAGAGAATGATAATCATCGCTGCCTCAGTAAAGAGGAAATCCAGAAAAACTGGGTTTAAGCTAGGATAAATCTGATTTCTCCCCCTGGCCTCAAATCCCAGATGGGAATTCTTAGCTAGCTACAAAACACACTGAAAAACCTTGTGTACTCTAAAACATGCAAAATCCATTTAACATTAAGACATCTCAAGTATCCTTTTTTGACTAATCCCTTATCATTTAAGTACTTCACTTTCATGATGGCGACACAGGCGAAGGTAAAATCTTTCGTCTACTAAAATGATCGTTCAAGGGGGAGTTTCCATCCTCCTCCCAAACCATCAAAGGTAACGAGGGTTTCCTCAGTTCTCACAACAGCTAATGCTTCCAGTTTCTGGCTCGCAACAGGACCCCCCAAGCCGAGCCTGACTTGGGGGCGTGGGTGGCAGTTCAGCTGTGCACGTGGTGGTAGCAGCCTCTCCTAGAGGTGGCTCTTCTGCTCGTGGCCTTCCTGAACAGAACTCCTGCGCTGTTTTGGAAGGTTGTGGACTTAACAGTGAGCGTGTTTTGGATCAGCTGCTTGACAGAGCTGCTCTCTGCTATATATGCTATAGATTCTGCAGATGTATGTATAAACTTAAGGCACAAAAGGGTGTTAAGTGTCTCTTTACAGTAAAATGGAAGAGCTGCTTTTAAAATGAAGCCACATGGAAGCAATGTAAAGGAGGAAGGACCATGAAAGTAAAGCATTCAGGCATCAACTCCAAGTCCCGTTTTATCCAGAGAAGCCCTTGGAATGTGGTACGGCCACACTTCCCAGCACTGTGAGAGGTAACGGGTTTTCTCCCTTTGCCCAGCGATGGGCAGCGAGAACCCACGATCGTGCACGCACCACCGAAACCATGCTGCATCGCTGGGCATGTTAGGAAGGAAAGATATCCCTTTGAGAGCAAATACACCCTGAAATGCCCTTCTGGAGGGCTGCCTGCCTCCCACACCCACAGCGCTGGGTTTGTAGGATCAGACGGTGACTGAGCTGCTGGTCTTTCGTCTTCTGCAGTCTGGAGGCAGTAAAGGAGAAGAGCGAGGTGAGGACAGGAGAATACAGGGATGGCCTAGAGAACAAAGGAAGGGGATGACCTCTGCAGGTGCGTGAGCTGAGGCAGCGTGATTACTCCCTCGTCGAGTTACGTGTAGCACGTAAGCTGAAAGACCTGACTGAATTTCTCTCCCTGTTCTTTTCCTCCCCACACACCTCCTGTAACAAGTCCCAGAGAGGGATAAAGGAGAGGAAGGAGACAAGTATCCCTCCCTCCTTGTTTTGCCAGGAATTACTTCCTACTTTTTACTGAATGAGCAAAGGACTGAGTACTCCACGGAGAGTGGAGCGGTATGTGGGTTATCCGTATGCCCGGTTACAGCATCACTGGCTCTGCTGAGAGCAGCTCCTCCAAGCAGCTGAGAAGAGCCCCAGCCTCTGTCACCTTTCTTGGGCTGCTGAGAGGCCTGGAATGGAGGGGGTGCCCGCCCGAGGTGAGGTGACAGGGAACCGAAAGCAAGGGTAGAAGTACATTTGGGGGCGGAAATGCTCTCCTACGTCACCTGCAGCTGTCAGAGGTGGAGAAGCAGTGGACTGAGAAACAGTCGTGGAAAGAACAAAGTGCAGTATCGCTAAGCGGAGACCAAGAACGGAACAACACACAAGCAGAGGGTGAAAGGTCAGGTAGGGTTCTGAAGAATAAGAGGAGCTTAGAACACGTGTGGAGAGGCAAAACGAAGTTAACAGCCAGCAAGCCATGCCAGAAGAGCAAACAGACCTTGTTCCACTGTGTTAACTCTCTGGATCCTCAGCACCGAGAAGTCTCCCAAACAATAAACCAGTTTATCGGCACACTAACAGCAACACTAAAATTGTTGCTACATAGGGTACTTAGTAAAAGCAGAGTATTAATAATACCCTCCCCTCCCTCTAGTGCTCAGCACAGAGGATTGGACAACGAAAAGGGCCAAAACAGATTCTCTGTTCTCTAGAGGTAGTTATCTGTGGACAAACAAGGCATCCTGGTGCCAGTGCTTGCTTTGGAAATAAGCAACATTTTCTTCCCCAGCTGAAGGGCCAGTAGCATGAGAATCCTCTTCGCAGTCCCTGTGGTTTCCTCAGGCAACATCAGTGATGCGGGAAACATCCCTGTCTGTCCACCAGCAGCCCCAAGAAATCACCAAGCAGGAGTTCTCGGTCCATATCCTGTCTTTCTAGGATGAATGTGTTTTCCCGCTCTCTTTTGCTTGGTTGTTTCCCAAAGCTCAGAGCAATTCCGTAGCATACGGAAACGAAATTTGTCTATGCATTTCATCGTCATCCTCCTCCTCTCCTTCGTGGACAGAATTGGCCGGTTCACCTTGCTCGGATCCTGCCCTGGCCTCAAAGAGCTGCTCTTCCAGGAAGAAGCTCCCAATGCCGTACTCCTCCTCGTGCGCCTTTGTTTCTGCAGGTGAGATGTGGGGAGATCCCAGAACAAAACCTGCAAACCTGCCAGATGGTTAAAGGGAGAAGAGATCAGTAAGTTCAGGTGCTGCTCCCAACGAGGCCGGGAGGTTGTAACAACGTGCAGATGAGGTGCAGTTGCAGCAAGAGCTAGGGAGTCCTGAGTGACAGAGAGTCAAGAGCAACGGATGGCAGCAACCCTGAGGATTTCCTGCCTCGTCTTCTCTTGAGTCTTCAGTCTTTTCTCTCTCAGAAACTTCTGCTCTGCTGGAGCCCATCTGCAGGGCCTTGTGACTAGGCACAGAGATCTAAGAGTTTTCACATCTTGTCAGTACCTGTGGGGTAACCCGCAGTAAGCATTTGTGTGGTTGCATAGGTGGTGCTCCAGCGTCTAAAAATAAATGAAAGCTGGAGCGAATTTGAGACGAAGGCTGTAAGGATTCAGGTAAGTGGACATGGCTAATGAAAGGAAAAAGGGTGAGAACCTGGCATCCCCACATGACTGTGCTGTTGGGTGCCGCAGGCGCGCTCCGGGACAGCCGGGCTCAGGTCTTGCCAAAGAATTCCCGCTTTTGGTGAACCTGGAGCTGGGAATTCTGCAGCTGCTACAAGTAAATCCCAAACTGGAGGTCTGGCAGGAAAAAGCGTGAACTTAGCACTGCCCCTGCATTTCAATTTGCCACAAATCCTACATTCGGTGGACAAGTACGTTGAAGAGAGACGAGCTGGAAGTTTCTGGCAGGCGTATGGAAACAGATGGCAGTTCTGACACCTGGGTAAGTGTCGACAGCATCAGAGAAGTGTAAGAGAAAGGAAACGCAGCTACATTCTGGAGTTCTGGTAAACTGATCAATAATTTACATTTTAGACTTAACACGGCTGTGAGATGAACGTTGTCACCTCGCTCTTCTTGGAAGCACTGTTAGTCTAAATGGGGAACAGAGCTGGGCTGGCTGTGTTTTACAGGTTTGCCGGGCGTGGAGCTAGCTACTGATGGAGCTTCACAGAAGCTCCAAGGGGTAGTCAACTGAGACTTCTGTTGGGTCCCCTTTGTATTTCTGTATCTTTATAGTGAACCGTTTGCAAGAACTGTATTAACTGAGTGACGGCTAGAAAACCCACGTGTCTCAGTTGTTTGGTTTGTGCATTTGGCAGCGGTTTGTTTTACAGTACTGCAGTGAGTTTTCGCTTTTTGTGTCTTTCAATCGTGCTGCAAAATGCGAGTAGCTCAGAAAACAAGACGGATTAACAGCACCTCTATGACACCCGGGAGAGAGGCTGTCTGTGTGCCCGTCCAAGGCAGGCGAAGGCTCTGAAACTGGTTTTAACATTTTACAGTTCCAAGCCGGCTGGGGCCCCTTGGAAATGGTGACACTTGGCTCTGTGGCAAGGGCCAAGTCTTTGTGGCTGGCTACTAAGTGAAACTCTGCTATGGATACCCTGAAGCTTGCTTTTGATGGAAATAGGCTATTATGAGTAATTTCGCATTCTGCAGGATTTCCTGGCTGCACTCATCTGCCCCTTCCCAACCCGCATTTGTCTGGTTTGTCTCTTACGCTGCGTCTGGAGTAGCTCTTCTGCCTGTTACACTGCCAGGCACTCATTTGCTTTCTCTGTACTAACTTGTGGCCAGGGGGTTGAACACCACCAGCAAGTGATACCCTTGAGAGGTGTGCTGTGATCTGCAGCGGGATCACCCAAGATAAAGCTAGCTGCACGTCTGACTGTGTGCAAGAAACACACACGTGGAAGAGTGCTTCAGGCAGCATTTGGGTCTGCTGTGCCAACAGCATCTGGGCAGTGCGTCTCCCGGTTCAGAGAGGCCAGATTTCCTTACCTGTGTGGGGACTGGAGTCTGGACACGGCTAACCACGACGGGAAGTCAGGGTTCCTGCAGAATGAGCGTAGCTCCTCCAGAGCTCTGCTAGTTTCTGCTTCACCTTGTTCTCGATACTCCTCTTCAGTAAGGTGTTTAAACACCAACTTTTTTGATTTAAAGTGGTTCTTGATTTTTCTAGAATGAAATTAAAACAATTAGTATTTCTAAAGTCTTCTGGCACGTTATTTATTCTTGTCCTTTTTCTCTACTACCTTTTATTAACATGCATTCATCCCTCTTTTTAAGAGGATAAGCTACATCCTTGCATTAAAATTTTCGGCCAAGGTGTCCAATGTTTGTTAGCCTGTTTGCCCTAGGTCTTAACCGAAGTTGGAGAATTCCACAGAATGATGCCTAATGAGCTGTGGATCAGGGGTCCTTATGGTGTACGCGTGGACTAAAATCTCACAGAACTCAGTAGATGGCTGCTTGCTCAGCCGTTTTTAGGTGCAATATGCAAAATGTGTCTGTGCAGAGGCACGGGCTGAATCAAACCGCAGTCTGCATATGTAACTTCGAAGACAAGCAACGCTCTAAGGCTGTTATGAGTTGTTCATGTTGTTTACTCAATCGCTTCTCTTAAATCTTGCTTTAAATTACAAAACTGAGTAGTCTGAGGCCAAAATGTTTACAATCTGATGTTTTTTTAGCTGCTGCGTAGCGATGTATAATATAATTAGATATCAATTAGAAAGTGTGCCATGTTCTGTTCCCTTCTGTCGACTGCTTTCAATTTAAATGTTATGATGAGTTAAGATAAGCAAGGGCTGGATGCCCATAAGACTTTCAGCGCTGTATAAAAACACCTGCTCCAACCAGCAGCATTCACTTTCCCCCTTATTTCCCTGCAAAGCAGGCACGAATGGTAGCCCTTACTCGGGTGAAAAGGTAAAGGCCTCGCCAGCTCAGTGGGATCGGGACTGATCTTAACAACGGATAATGCATGATTCTTAGTTATTCTGATCGATCTGCTGCTCTGAACTGCGTGTCTGGCATCGTGGCCTCACGGTTTGGTGCAGCTGCTTAGTGTTTCGAAACAGAAAAAAAGAAAGCCTTATCATTCTCCTAAGAGAAATTTGTAGAGCTATATTTCAGTGCTTTTTGGCTTTATGGAAGCATCAGTTCATGAAAAGCAGAGAGGTCCCCGTGGAGAACAAACTGCAGTGTTTCAGGGTAAAACAGGTATGTTCTGACTTCTGTGAACTCGTAGCCAAATCTTACTGATTTTGGAGCGGGCTGAACAG